TGGACCACAGGACAGTACAGCCGCCTGCAGAGAAGTCAGAGTCTCACCAGGGAGACAGAAGTGGTAACCAACAAGCTGGAGGAGACGCCCTGACAAAGGATGTGCAGAGTCCACGCAGGGACCAGTGGGTCACAGGGGCACGTGTGAGGCTTGCCAGTGGGAAATGGGATGGCAGGAGGAGAGAGGAAAGTGAAAACATATGTTGGAGAAGCAGGTAAGAGCGCTAGTGTTTGCTTTTACACTGGGGGCGGGTGGAAGGCTGGAAAGAAGGTAATTATCAAGGCTGTCAGAAGACTGTCCACGCAGGAGATGGAGGGCACTGTGAGGCCACAGCAGCGGAGGGAATCAGGCAGGGGCCACAGGAGAGATGTCGGGAAAACGAGGTGAGGGAGAGGAAACCCACGGGTTCTGACTCTGCACCACACAGGCACGACAGTCAATGAATCAGGGAGCATAGCGTCATGGGGAGGGGAGAAGGGAGATAAGGAAAGTTTTGAGGATGTTAGAAATGTACTGCCAGCTACTAATTTTATTCATCACAGACCCATCGTGCCTGCCGCGTCAGGAGGCAGGCCGTGCATGGAGAGTTACTGAGTGCAAACTAGTGAATGTTCTCTGTAACGACATGTTCTCTTGTAGGGAAACATCTGCAAGATGAACTGGGCACTGAGTCTGTCATGTTAAGTATAAGAAGCTCAAGGTTAAATAAGCTAGGACCTAAGCCACACATGTGTTTAGGGATTTGTGCTCTTGCTAAGAAAACACCAAGCCAGCTACACTCTAACATGAATTACACACTTCAGGGAGGTTGAAATATTTAGCAAATTGATATTTCACTCCACTAAATGGTGTGCTAATGACGGCTATGAAAAAGTATTCCAAAGTTACTCCCCCATCCCATCTCTCCAAAAGAATCTGAAAGCCACTTAGGACAGCCCAGCCCATCTTTTCAAATGATTTTTCTTATTTTCAAGTCCTTTTCTCTAGAGCAGCATGATGATACTAATGGCAACTAACAGTCCTTACTATGTGCCAGTCGTTCTGCTATAATTGTACAAGGATGGCCTCACTTGACCTCCACCAGCCCTTTCCACATCCCCTCTCACAGGGGAGTACACTGGGGCAGAGGGCAGTTAAGTCCTTTATCCAAGGTCATGTCCATAGCAGGCAGATTGACTCCAGAGCCTGTTCTCTTAACCACTCACTCCTATGTTACAGTAAAAATAAAACAGGGATGTTTATTACAGAAACTTGAAAAAATAGAAGAGGGCTTTTTTGGGGGGGAGGGGAAGGGGTTCATTTAAAAGTAGAAACAAAAAGTCTCTGAGAGTGTGGCAAAATCTATGATCCTCTTTCTGCCATTTACAAACAGTGATCTTGGGCAAGTCAACCTCTGAAAGCCTCAATCGGCTGACCTGAAGTAGTCCCTTCAAATGGAAGTAAAAATAATATCTAATTGGATGAAGTGGTTAGTGTGTGCATTTAGCACAGAGCTATGGTGTTGGAGAAGACTCTTGACAGTCTCTTAGACTGCAAGGAGATCCAACCAGTCCATCCTAAAGCAAATCAGTCCTGAATATTCATTGGAAGGACTGATGCTGAAGCTGAAACTCCAATACTCTGGCCACCTGATGCAAAGAACTGACTCATCTGAAAAGACCCTGATGCTGGGAAAGATTGAAGGCGGGTTGAGAAGGGGATGACAGAGGATGAGATGATTGGATGGCATCACCGACTTGATGGACATGAGTTTGACTAACCTCTGGGAGCTGGTGATGGACAGGGAAGCCTGGTGTGCTGCGATACATGGGGTCGCAAAGAGTTGGACATGACTGAGCAACTAAACTGATACTAACACTATATAATAAATACAGAAATGAAATATAAATATATTTCACTTTTTTATGTGCTTTAACAAAGCATATACTTGAAGTTGGCCAATTATGTCAAAGAGTCTTCATATAATATATTGTGCAAAATTTCTTTCCAAAACATTTTCACCTATTAATGTTCCCACCTGCAGGGAATTTGTGAGTAGTCTATAAAACTGCATCCTGGCCAGGAATGGGTAATGTTATGAGGGAAAAAGAGGTGTTTTTTTCCAGTCTGATACAACATGTTCTATGCTATTAAAAATATAAATCATACAGAAAGCCCAATAGCTGAATAAACATCAAATATATGTATGTAGTCATTTCTGGCTAATGGTTATAAAAGAAAAATGAATAATAAATTCTGTGTATCATCTATTTTCTGAAAGATTGGTTTGTGAATACAAACTGGTATTTAATTGGTCACTTAAAGTTTTTCTGGGCTTCCCTGGTAGCTCAGTTGGTAAAGAATCTGCCTGCAGTGCAAGGGACCCAGGTTCGATCCCTGGGTTGGGAAGATTCCCTGGAGAAGGAAATGGCAACCCACTCCAGTATTCTTGCCTGGAAAATCCCATGGACAGAGGAGCCTGGTGGGCTGCAGTCCACGGGGTTGCTAAGAGTTGGGCACGACTAATAACTCACACAGATTATTAGTAAATGGAACTGTCTGCATTCCACAAAGATCCTCCCGTAAGCCCAGGAATTCAGTCTAGCTAACAATTTTTAAAAAAGAGAAGCATGCGTCTTACACACACAATAGTGATCTTGCATTTAAAAAAGTATACACCAAGTGTTTAAGTATCTATTTTGCCTAAGAACATGAGCTGTTTCTTAAAAAACAGAATCTACAAACCTAGTCACAAAGGACCCCCACAAAACAGCAGTAAATCCAGTTCTAGTAATAGAGGCTCATAAAACTAGCTTTTAAAAAGCTAAGTGTTTTCTGTGTTTAAGAACTTTAAGTAAGATGATGCTTCCAAGTGGTTTTTAACTGTGTACATAACATCCTGGAGAGGACAGGCCACTGTTTGCTCATTAGTGGCCAAGCCAGCCAAATTCAGTTTATGTCAGTATTATTGTCAGTAAAAAGCATAATAAAACAGCTTTTTTTTTTTTCAAACCCCATGTGGAGGCACTGAGTAAGCAGTCAGAAAAATAGTTTGACTTGCTCAGAGAGAAAGTGCCCATGCATTTCACAGGATACAAATGAGAAGCCCCAAGGAATCCTCTCACCCACACCCAGAACAAAAAAAGTTGAACCCAAAGCTTCAATTGAGAATCAACCAACTGTTACGTGCATCATAAAAATCCTCCTGACGATAAGTGGGCCACCCTTGGGGGAAAGGAAGCCCCAGTGAAAGAAAACCTCGATCCACAAAATGTCAGGCGGGCATTGGGATAAGCTACCCCAGGTCTAATAGGATGAAACAGCATTAACTCTGGCCTGATTTGTTCCAGGATCAAACAAACCTTGGATCATCACAGGCTGTAATGCCTCACTAATGAGTTAAGAGGATTTTATTACAAAAATCGTGATATTCTTCCTTTAGAGAATCCCTACCATCAGGGTGGTAAGATCATTAAATATAAAAAACACAATGATGACCATGAGAATAGTAATTAACACTGAACACTCAGTGTGTTTAAGTGTCACTCCAGGCACTCTGACATGCACCACTTATTTCAAATCTTTGTAACCTTGCAAAGGGTCTTTTGCCCATTTTACAGAGGAGGGAATGGAGGCTCACACCCTGGAAGGTACTATACACGATGACAGAGCCTGTACTTGCTTCAGAGGATACAAACTAAGCTCTTAACTACTTCACAAACTAAAATCAGACTAAGTTTAACTTTGCAAGGAAAATACAAAAGTGCATCCCAAAGCCACCTACAAATATATATAACACACTGCTGGGTTCTAAGTTAACAAACTAAGGTTTTGTAAGGAAAGATTTATGCCCAAGGCATCCTAACTACCAAGACAGAGGTGTGCAAAGCAGAACGTCCCTGGGCCCAAGGTTACAACACACTTGATTTTGTTTTTCTTCCCTATTCAAATGAATCAGAAAGAAGTTTGGCATCCTGCTCTCATGTAGCAAGCCTGCTTAGAAATGATAGAAGAGCAAATAAAGGTGATAAAGTAATTTCAGTGAGGCTATGACTGAAAAAAATCTCACATGGAAACTTCTGGTTTGAGTCCCCTGTGGGATAAAATGATATGGAATGTGAAATGTGTCTACCATGTGCAGACCTGGTCAGTTTCTAGAGCCAAGATGAGTAATGAATCCTCAAATTTCTTTAAAATATTTTTCCAGTAGTCAGGTACAGATGTGAGCTGGACCATAAGGAAGGCTGAGCAACGAAGAATTGATGCTTTTGAACTGTGGTATTGGAGAAGACTCTTGAGAGTCCCTTGGACTGCAAGGAGATCCAACCAGTCCATCCTAAAGGAGATTGGTCCTGGGTGTTCATTAGAAGGACTGATGTAGTTAAGATAGCCATTACTGTGTCACAAACCAGGCACATGATACTTACATCCAAGTGTCAAACCTTATCTATTCCAGTGCCCACATCTTATCTATCATGGGAACTGAGGATAGGAGCCCGCTGTGGATGCACAAGCGTCCCAACCGTTTACATACACTCTTCTTGTTGGAGTGGACTGGGAGGAATCTACAACTGTCCAGTCTATTAGAACAAGGATATACAGGTAAAAGATATAAAAAATAAAGACACCTACAGCAATGAGTTTGGGATAATGATCTAGTCTTAGACCAAGAGAAGAAGCTGAAGAATGCTCTATCATCAGATCAGCATGTTTCCATCTACAAAGAGGATCAAGAAACAGTAGAAATAGCTTGAGGTTTGACACAGAAGAACTTTCAGAGATGTGCAAACAGCAGAGATGGCCCGTGGGGACATTGCATAAATAAGCACTCTCCCTCAAAGGCTGGGATTACAGATTAACCTGAGGCCAAGGACTATTTTTTGGACACTAATAAACCCCACTCTCTTGAAAAAGGTAGAAAGGCACTGTGCTAAAGGTTGCCAGGTCTCCTGACTCTGCTCTGCCCCCAGGCCCAGTTTCCAAGGTAAAGATCCCAGCGGTGGGTTGATTCTCTCAGGAAGGTTGGTGCCCAGCTGGTCCTTCAGGAGGCCCTGTGTGTCACACTGTTTACTCCTGACCAACCTCGCAGGGGTTTAAGGTCCTGTCCAAGAACAAAACCACGTATGGAGAAAAACTACAGCACTGGAGAATCATTTGGGTATTACTCTTCAGAACAAATTCTAAGTTAAGATAGCCATTACTGTGTCACAAACCAGGCACATGATACTTACATCCAAGTGTCAAACCTTATCTATTCCAGTGCCCACATCTTATCTATCATGGGAACTGAGGATAGGAGCCCGCTGTGGATGCACAAGCGTCCCAACCGTTTACATACACTCTTCTTGTTGGAGTGGACTGGGAGGAATCTACAACTGTCCAGTCTATTTGGAATCACATGCATGCAGAAAATTAAGACCACAAGGAACCTGGTAAAAGAGAAGAAGCACCAAAGGGGTAAGCAGGGGCGGGGGGTGGGGGGAGGGAGAGATCTGGGGCTGGGGCACCCAGGGAGACCTCCCTGGAGGAGCGGAGCTGGGACCCATCCTTAAAGGAGCAGTGGGAGTGGTTAGGCCAAGGGATTTGGGGAAAGGGCTTCCCTGGTAGCTCAGATGGTAAAGAATCTGCCTGCAATGCAGGAGACCTGGGCTTGATCCCTGAGTCGGGAAGATTCCCGGAAGAAGGGATATGGCAACCCACTCCAGTATTCTTGCCTGGAAAAAATTCCATGGACAGACCATGGGGTTGCAAAGAGTCGGACACAACTGAGTGACTAACGCTTCACCTCACCTCATGCCAAAGGAAGGACACGATCCAAGAGCAGAGGGGAAAGGGGGCTGCCACGCCCTGAGAAGGATGAAGCGGTCACATGGGCCATGATTCCGCCTTCACCAGAAAGCTGACAGCAATGATTTAAAGCATTCTGAAACATGTGAATGCTCCGTAAATGCTAAATGAATTGATTCTCAGCGGAATCGGAGCAGACTTCATACAGGTGGCATGGGGCCAGGTTATTAAGGGTTAACAAGTCAAAGACCTAGGAGGTCGAATGTGGATGGCTGTTTGAGGCTGAAGCACAGCATGCAAGGAGGTGTGGAAGGATACAGGGGGTGAGCGCGGTACACGTGGGCAACAGCACCATCTCTAAGTGTGCTGATGCTTCCCCCGCACCTCACACACATCCACCTCTCCCAGCCACACCACCACCCCAGACCGTGTTCTTCCTCCAGGTCCCCCAGATGGCCAGTCTCAGCTATCACCCTGTTCCCGCTGTCTGCGGCCCCCCATTTCCGCCCTGCACCAGAGCCACCAAAACCGACAGGCCCACGACTGCCTGAAGCCTCTCAACGACTGTGCCCCTTGTTCTCTGCAGAGAACCCACACCCCTCATTTGCTTAGGGCCCCTCCATCACTGGCTCACCCCGGCTTCCAGCCCAAGCCTGCCCTCCCTGCCCTGCCCACAGCCCGACCACACCCGCCTCCTGCCGCCTCCTCCTTTCTGCACGCAGGCCCTGCGCAGGGAAAGTTCCCTCTGCCTCCTGCCCCTCATCCCCCTGCCCTCACCTCTGCATAAAGGTCCTCAGAGAAATCTCCCCTGACTCCTCTCCCCCAAAGCCCCAGGCTTGGTGAGGTTCCTCTGTTTACACTCGAATCACATCCCAGATACGATCAGCCCTCGAGGGCAAGGTTCACATGGACGGACGGACAGCGTGGCGCTGGGCCCATCACAAGGTGGGATGGATGAGTGGTGCATGGTCGCTGGGCTGGAGAGCAGACTGGGGACAAGATGGGGAAGATTTGAAAGTCCTCTGACCTTCATGTCATTGGGCAAAGACAGCCTGGTCCCACGTGGCCTCGCTGGCAACACAGCAGTCTCCATCACTGCTCCCAGCACCAACCAGGGCAGCTGACTCAGCTTTAAGACCTTCATCAAAGGGCAGCAGCAAAAAAGGCTGGGTCTGCTTTCCACCCCCCTGCTTCTGGTTGTGTGAGAAGCCCCCGGGGCCAGCAGGACTGCTTCATCACCTAGCTCAGCAGGACGACATGGCTTCCACCGCACCGGCTCGGAAGCGCGGTCTGTCCACTGGTTCATGCAGTGGCGGGACGGTGCCCGTGGTCTGTATGCGAAAGACGGTCCCCGCTACAGATGGGCTCTGACTCAGGGCTCCAAATTTATCCTAGTTAGAAACAGGACACTCCTCCCCCTCTTAAGGGAGGGTCCTCCCCACCCACTCTTCCCCCTTTACCCCCCTGGCAGCCAATTCACTCGTGGCGATTACCATCATCAGATCCAGAACTTCGATGCCTGCCCCATCCACTCCAGCGCTGGCTCCTGGGGTGCATCTTCAGTCAACCATCCCACAGATACTGTTGCTGCCACATCCTCCCCTGTGGACCCTTAATCCTGGACAAATCTAACTAGCTGAACTGACATTTTCTACTGAGATTCAGGCTTGTCAGTATGAATTCCCTGAAACTCACTCTCTCCTTCAAATGTCAAGGTGCTTGTTACCTGCTACAGGTGGATGAAACGCCAAACATTATGCCAAGTGAAAGAAAACAAGACGCCAAAGGTTACATATTGTATGATTCTCTTTATACAAAATATGCAGCCTTTGTTGTTCAGTTGTGCATTTGTGTCCAACTCTTTGCAACCCCATGCACTGTAGCACGCCAGCCTTCCCTGTCCTTACAGCAGCTCAAACTCATGTCCATCGAGTCAAGTGATGCCATCCAACCAACTCATCCTCTGTCGTCCCCTTCTCCTCTTGCCTTCAACCTTTCCCAGCATCAGGGTCTAAAGATAGAAAGATCAGTGTTGCCCAAAGGCTGGGGGTGGGGAAGGGCAGGGCAGAGAATGGCTGATGGGCAGAGTCTCCTCTGGGAGATGAAAATGATCTGGGATTAGACAGAGGTGGCTGGGGTACCACAGTGTGGGTGAACTGAATTTTCCACTTTAAAATGGTTAATTTCAGGGACTTTCCTGGCTGTCCAGTAGTTAAGACTGTGAGCTTCCACTGCAGGGGGCACAATGCAGGCTTGATCTCTGATTGGGAACTAAGATCCTGCATGCCATGCTGTGAGGCCAAAAAATCTTTTCAAAAAATTTTATTTCCTATTATATGATTTTTGCTTCAAAAAAAATTCAAATACTTAAAAAAAAAAAAAAACAACAAAAAACAAAGCTACTTTTCCCCTCCCAATCCATAAAGGGAGGCTCAGCATCTCCTACTTGCCTGCCTCCTTCAAGAACTGACTGCTAAACTCTACTTCCCCCTTTATCTTCAATTTTTTATTAGCTGAGAAGTCTGTTCAAGTCTCTCCAACCTAAAATCCTTCTCTCAGCTCTATTCTACCCTTGAACATCACCTAGAACCATCTCAAGATTTCATAAAAAGCAGTCAACTTCAAACAGCCTTCACTTTCTTAGTTCTGTTTCTGGTGGTAAACAGTCTACAGATGCTGAAATCGACATGCTACAAACACTTCTGAAAGTGACAGGTAAGATATACACAAAACTCCTATAAAAATGCATGGGCGAACTTGCAAGAAACTCTGAGGTCAAGATGGAGGCAGGCGTGAGTCAGTAAAAGGAAGCTCTCATATTCCCTGGGGGTTTTTTCTTTTGGGGGGCGGGGGGCCCCCCGGGGTTTTTGAAGGTTAATTTAAAGGGAGTTGGAAAACTCTGTTTCATTAGCCAAATTCCAAGTGCTGTAGTAACTATTACCCATGACTGGTGACTACTATACTGGACAATGCCAAACATATCCCGCAGAAACACCTGAGCACGTGGAAGTGAGCGGCTCACTGTGCACGGCGCCTGATTCAAGACGTCACAGAAACTGAGGTTATAAACAGCCTGAAAGAAGTCCCCAGAGTAAAGGATAGGGCAGGCAGATGCCGTGTTGACAGTTCCCAAAAGCAGAACGCTACATGGTCAGACATACAAGAAGGCCAGAAGGACCTTCTGGTAACACAAGAAAACAATAAAGCTTAAATGGTTACACAGAACAAGGTGGAGATGTGGGGATGTGATGCTTGGCTTCCCTGATGGCTCAGAGGGTAAGCAAAATCATTGTTAAAATCAACAGTAATTAAAAAAAAAAAAGTTAAGTATCTATCAAACAGACATGAACAAAAAAGAAATTAGCTATTTTGAAAACTATTCTAAAAGACAGCCAATCGGAAGGCCCAGATACAATAATGTACAGAGGGCAAAGAGAATGAGATTTAAAAAAATAAAGTGGATATCTAAAAAGGTATTTACACCACACTGAGACCTTCTTAAGTTACTCCTTTCCGTTCTGGATTTTTATTTTAAAAACTGACAATATGGCATCTATGCAAGCCACCAGCATTGTTAGAGGACATAAATTTACTTTTAAATATTACCCTAAAGGTGGTACTTACAGACCTTAAAATGACCAAAACCAGTATACCCGATGAAGTTCACATAGGAAGGTGACCTTCAGAGATTCTCCTGTGACATAAATCAAGAAATTTACTAGGCAAAGGGACTCAGGAGATTAGAGTTGATGAAATAACACCCTCCACCCCAAGGATGTTTTCATCGCCAAGTAGAAGGTTGGCTCTTATTTTAAAATACAGTAAATAGGGTCTAGGTAGAACAGGGGTTCTCAAATTGTAGGCCAGATACCCAAGGGTTCTTGGGTCCTTCTCAGGGGTTCTGTAAGATCAAGAATATTTTTGTAATGTTACCAAGAGATGACTTTTTCAATCTCATCTCATCATTAAGTGACCTAGAAGCTACAGGACGTGTGATATCTCAGCAGAATGAATGCAGAAGCAGCGAAGAGGAGCCAGCGGTCTTTCATTAAGCCAGACACCAAAGTGATGGGCAAACACCTCAAACTGTTTTCACTAAAGTTTTGGAAAAAAATTTTTTTCATGAAAATATAGATCATGTTACCATGAATGAGCAACGGCTATTTTTAGATGTTGCTAATTATTTTAAAAATCAATGTCTAATAGGATGAATGTCAACAGGTAAAAGCCACAAAAACAAAAGCTCTCTGAGGTTCTCACCTTTTAAAAGTGCAAGTCCTAAGAACAAAAAGTCTGAGAGCTGCTGTATTAAAAATTGCATACAGAATTTCTCCTCCTCTGTGAAGTTTCATCTCTAAACTGGCATTATAAATTTGGCTTCTCAACTTATATGCAAAATTCCCAAATACCTCAAAAAGCACCAGTGAGAAACAATGAATAAAACGTACAATATGTATAATTTAAAGCACTCTGTGAAGGAAGTTCTTATTGATTTCCCAGTAAATCAGACTGTATATAGCAGGCTGGGCTGATTTTCACATTAGCATATGGGCTAAAACCTCTGAATATTTCTTTAGCATGATACTAACTTTCCTTTCCAATGAAGATACTCTTTATGGAAACTCATTCACCAAAACCTAAAGTTTTAAGTAATAAATAAGACCTGTGCATCCCGTGGTGAAGTCACATTAGGTAGAATGTATTAACTCGTCAGCCAGGATACAGATGCTAAAGAGCTTAAGTACTAACACATGTATCATATATATATACGCGAGAAAGAGAAAGCTCAGAATCAGCATTTTTCTGCCACAACAAAATACCTTTTAAAAAATCACACTTTCCATTTGCCTATCACCTCAGTTGTCCAACTGTCACCCAGTCTTCAGTTCTCTGATTCATGATGCTAACGGGCTCAAGGGAGCTTCACGCAGGAAGTTTCCCAGCCTACTCAAGGGAGTTTGTCTTCCCTGTCCAGGGTTCACTTTCTTCTTCCTCTAAACCATGTGTCAGTGGCAGGTACGTCCCTGACGTCACCTGGGGAATGCAATTACCAACAGGAAAGCAGGGTCCCCACTGAATGGAGAAAAGCAGGTCAGCAGAAACAGAATGAATATGAGTAAGAGGGAGAAATTTACAGGCCACACCCTTCTCTCCAAAATAAGAATCTGAGAGTGACATTACAGAGCTCCAAGCATGAGTGCCATCATTTATTCCTTTGACAGAGAGCAGTGCTAACAAGAGAATGAAATCCATGTGCCGCTGAACACTCAGTTGCTATAAAGGTGCATCATGCCCTCCCATCTGTCTGTGAAGAAACCCAGGGCTTTCAGACTACAGCTCAGGGCATTCACCCCAGGTCATGGCCACAGAACAGCTATTTGCAGGTTTCTCTATAAAATGTTTTTCTATTTGCTTTCTGAGATTGGAATACATCAGAGAAAATGACTGCATGTCACGCTGACCATCTCATTAAGGGAAACAATTTGATTTCAAGAGAAAAGAAACATCATGACTGCTTCGAGGGGACAGCAGCTGAAATTTCAAGAAGCGGCTCTGGGGATGGGACCAACGCGTCCTCTCCCACCTCCTGATCAACACGGCTTAACTCTGCTATACTTGGTTACACTTCCTGGATACTGTGGGGGCTCTGTCTTACCAGGGTACCAACTGATGTGAAAGACAACGCACGAGGTAGCACCCAAAAGTCTTATTTAACCAAATCAACGGGCAAAGGGAAGAAAGAAGAGAAAGTTGAGTTGGTTAACTTAGAATGAATGGGATCTTCATTCTAAGAAGAAGGAGGAAATAATCTTATTTCCTTTTCTGGAGAATGAAATGGAACTCCTTGAAATTAAACTAATTTTCTTCACATGTGGTTTATGGACATTGTGCATGGTAACTCACTTCAGTCGTGTCTGACTCTCTGTGACCCCGTGAACTGCAGCCTGCCAGGCTCCTCTGTCCATGGGATTCTCCCGGCAAGAATACTGGAGTAGGTTGCCATGCCCTTCTCCAGGGCATCTTCCCGACCTAGGGATTGGACCCAGGGATTAAACCTGTGTCTCTTACGTCTCCTGCACTGGCAGGTGGATTCTTTATGACTAGCGCCACCATTATCGGTCAACTCATCTTACAGGCTTTAAACTTTTATCAAAGTTAAATTTAGTACAATCTTCACTGAAAACCTGTAAATGCAAATTACATGGTGCAACTGCCACCAAGTAGAAGGTCAGTGATCAGAGAGGGAAGACGGCAGCAACAGACAAGTAGGAAGGCAATGAGTGTGGTGCTACAGGAAAACACCTCCATCACCGATACACTTGTCACTTCAATCACTGCAACCAAGTTCATTATAAAGAACAAAGGAATTCAGAAACCAAGGACTTTCAGGACGTAACCAAGTCTAAAACAAGTGTATATATAGTTCAGTGGCAAACTGATATTTAAAAAAACAAATTTTATTTTCTAGCAAGTACCATCCATTTCCCTTTTGCTAGGACAAGCCAAGTGTTGTTTAGGCTCCATCCTCCCCAGCTGAGTAGGTGAGATCTGATAGGGTCAGGACCTGGGGTGTGTATGTGTGGTGGGGGGTAGTGACCACTAGTGACTGGCTGGCTGACAGACCAACGGGAGCCACAGAGGCTTCTGGGAAGATGACATCCAACACAAGGTGAACTATGCAAGGGTCGTGAGATTGTTATTTCTAGTTTTTTAAAACAATAATTTAGTATTGACTTATTTTTATTTGCTAAAATTTTTTTAAAGGTTCATAGAACTCAAGTGGCAGAAAAAAAATGTAGACAAAAAACACTAGGAAAAAAACTTCTTAATGTTAAGGAATGCGACCTATTAAATCCTTCAAAAGAGTTGCTGAGTTTCTTCACCATAAAAAAATTTAAAGAAAAGGAACAGGTAAGTCATGACCAATGACACCCAGTCCTGTCTCCCCAATCCCACACTCAAGCGCTGTTTCCACGCGCTTGTGCCACCGACATATACATGGTGCGTCTGCACCTCAGTCCCAACAAGCCAAGCCTCCCTGCCTCCTGACTCCATCCAGGTGATTCTGCTCTTGCCCAATCACCTTCCAGGAACCCAGTCCTGAAAGCACGCTCCCCCCTGCATGGATCCCAGGCCAGCCCTGTGACTCCAGTCACCCTACCCCCATCCTGTCCTGTCCTATCACCTCTTTGCCAGAACCGTCTTCTATGAACTCCTTGGCCTCCAGAACCTCCCCGCATCCAATCCATCTAATCCATACATCTTTCACACTGATCTCTTAAAGCTCAACTCATTCACTCAGCACACACTTACTGACTGCTGTGTCAGGTAACCAAGGACCACAAACTTAGTGGCTTGTTGTTGTATTAGTCGCTCAGTCGTGTCCAATTGTGTGACCCCATGGACTGCAGCCCACCAGGCTCCTCTGTCCACGGAATTCTCCAGGCAAGAATACTGCAGCAGGTTGCCGTTCCTTTCTCCAGGGGATCTTCTTGACCCAAGGATCGAACCTGGGTCTCCCGCACTGCAGGCAGATTCTTTACCGTCTAAGCCACCAAGGAAGCCCCAGAAGTTCTTTTAACAACACAAGTGCATCTTATAGGTCAGAAGTCCAAAACGGGTCTCACTGGACTAAAATCAAGGCACGGGCCTGACTGCTTTTTGGAGGCTTTATGGGAGAATCCTTCTGGCCTTTTCCAGCTTCTACAGGCTGCCTTCCATCGCTCCACTGTTACCTCCTCTGTCCTCAAGGTCAGCAACACTGGGCCCAGTCTCCTCACACCCCACCCTTCTCATTCTTTCCAACCCCCCTCTTCCACATTTAAGGACCCTTGAAAAGTGAAAGTGAAAGTCGCTCAGTCATGTCCTACTCTTTGCGACCCCATGGACTACACAGTCCAAGGAATTCTCTAGGCCGGAATACTGGAGTGGGTAATCTTTCCCTTCTCCAGGGGATCTTCCCAACCCAGGGACCAAACCCAGGTCTCCTGCCTTGCAGGCGGATTCTTTACCAGCTGAGCCACGGGGGAAGCCCCTTACGGACCCCTGGGGGCTGGTTACACTGAGCCCACCCGGAAAACCTAGGCCGCTCCAGCTGACGGGCAGCCTTAATTCTCCACACGGTCACAAGTGGTGGGGCGCTGGGACACATCTCTGAGGGACTTTATTCTGCTGCCCACAAGCACCTGATATGAGGATCTGGGCATGGCCAACATGCCGTCAAGCTCCAGTCAGTCCTTTAACACCAAATGTTAACTGGCCCCCAGTGCTTAAAGAGTTACGCCTAAACCACTTAATCTTACAGGGAAGCCTTCCTTGATTTCGAAACACTCCCACGGGATTTACTTTATCTCCCTGAAGTCCGTTCGTACTGATCTCAACCTGCAGAACTGGGAGCACCCAGCTCACCCACTTCTGCTCACAGCCACTCCAGGGCCTGCACCGTGCTCGTCCCCGCAGACGCTCTCCACGCTCCAGCTCACACACCACCTGCCCTCTCTGACGCCCAACAAAGCCCTGTGGCCCCAGCTGGCCATTCGGCAGGGACACAAAGAGTTCAGGGGGGGGGGGGGTGCCCCAGCGCTGCCGCTAGCTGACTGTGCGGCCCGGCCCCGCCATCTGATCTCTCCGCCTTGCTTTCATCAGCTGTCCGGTGAAAAGCAGCCCAAACTATTTCTAAATCTGCTCCCAGTTCTAGGAAATCCTCCATCCCGAAAGCCACTATCCAATCAAGGTCAGCATCACATCAGCTGAACTACTGCACGCCCTCCTGATGGAGGGTCCCTGCCTCTGGTCTTGGCATTGCTTCCCACTTCCCAAAGAGCATCTTTCCAGGTTACGCCTCTCAAAACCAGTTAAAGGCTCATAGGACAATGCTCAGATCCCTCAATGTGGCCTCAGGCCCCTGCATCCTCCTTTGCTTCTCCTTATAATCAGTTCCTCATGTGCTACCTGCCTCCTCCTTCACAGCCTCTGCCTGAACGCCCGCTTCCGCTCTCCAGCAGGCAGATGTCTGCTCAGTCTGCAGGCACCCTTCCCCGGCCCCCTGGGTCTGATTTAGGGGGTCCCTTCCTGTCTGCCCACAGCACCCCACACTGCGCTCTCAGTGCTCGTCACCATGGTACCAGCATCTGTTCCCTGTCAGTCTCTTCCACAGACTCCAACTTCCACATGGGCAGCACAGTCACTCTCATCCACCCTAGTACAGGCTGGGGGGCAGTCACCAGGATTCCGGGTACAGCGGCAGGACTCTGAGCTGCCCACAGCCACTCAGAATCAAGATGAGAATTCTCAGTCTGTCTGCAGATTCGTGAGGCTGCATGTTTAAAGTCCTGGTTAACGGAGACATAAGCGACACTGTCGAGGGTTGGTTTCTGGGAACTTCCCTTAAGAGAAAACACAACTGAATCCTCAGCCCCTTCTACTGTGTCTCCTTCTCCATCCTGCTGCCTCTGAGCCCGACACACAGTGAGCTAGAAGCCTGCAGCTGGTCATCCTTGTACCCTTTCCCCAGCCCTTTGTGCAAAATACAAGTAACACCTTGTTTTGAGATGCCATCAGTGGAGCCATTATTCTGGGGTCTCTGTCACTAGCACTCAAACCTAGTGGCAACACACAGCCCTACCCACAACACCAATAATGATCTACTGCGCCAGGTTCACACCTCACCTCTCCCACTGGGTTACGATCTGTCAGTAGATGTACTGTCGTATGTCTCTGCAGGATCCAAGCGCTAGAGCAGGGGGCAGCAGAGAACACGATGGGGAGTAAGTGTGCATGGTCAGTGAATCAGTGACCACGTGGCAACTGAAGCAGACAGGCTCCGTCCAACCTACATGGGCCGCCTTAACTTGGCTCAGTGTTGAGGCCAACCAAAATTAGGTTAAAAAGAGAGTGTCAGTTTCGACCATTATTTGACCAGGGAATAGCCAAAAGGTTAGACACCAGCGTGCGTTCTCTTCCTTTTTTGGGCACAGTGCCACAATAAATCCCTGGCTCATTCCACCTAAAAGCTCTACCAGGTAACATGCAAATAAAATAAGCAAGGCCTTTTAACACAGCACGTTGAAACAGCAACCTCTGCTCCTGGCAGACGGCAGGGGGATGTCTAGCAATTTGCTCTATTCCCTCAGCCTGGCTGGGGGAACAGCAACCCTAAGGAGGGACTCCAGCCCCCTAAGGCTGCTGTCTCCCAGGGCCGGCTTCCCGGGTGGGCTCCTCATCTGTGCAGTGTTACAAACTCTCAAACTTCTCAGGCTATTGAGGCATACTCACCTTTCACAAAGCCATAAGCACAGATTACAGAACTGATTATACCCAAACGGTACACAGAGAGAGAAACATTTATGCAAATAATTGCCAGATACCTACCACATGCCAGACAGCACACAGGTACCAAGGATACACAGGGAACATGCCAGACCTGGAGCAGAGAGGGGAGGAAAGCACTCGATGTCCTCCCCTGATGAGGAGGAGGCTGACACACACAGAGGTCAGCTATAACCAAGGTTACAAGAGCCAGAAGGGGTAGGAACTGCTAACTGAGTAAATAGCATCAGAGGTTCCAGGGTGTGTGAGTCTGACTTACAAGGAACAGGGCCTTTTCTGCTGTTTAGTTGGCTTTGCTTTCGTGTGTTTTTGTCAGTGGGGAGCAATCGAGGAAGCAGTGCTGAGCAGAGATGGAGCTGACAGGGCAGGTGGGGAGAAGTGAGTCTGTGGGGTGTTCAGGTGAGAAGTGCAGGCAGCAAGTGAAGCGGGATCAAGGATGGCCCTAAGGGAAAGTAAACGAAGCTTTCAGTATGGAGTGTGTGGATCCCACTGACGTGTCAGAAGATCTCTGTGACAGCCAGGCTGGGACCTGAACAGAGAGAGGCAGAAAGGAGCCAGGGGAAACCGGCTGCAAGGGCTGGCGTGCTGTGAAGGCAGGGCGGCAGCGGAC